TTAATTACATTAGGTATGTGGGAATAATAATTGCCCAGGTAATTTTTTTCTTACATTAGCTAAAGTTTTATGAAAAGAGTCGTAAATAAGAGCAATTAAGTGTTTGACACTAGTTTTAAAATTATTAATCAATTAATAATGAACTCTTCTTTCCATTCAATTAAGTTTTCATGGCCAAATTGCCATTTATATTGAATTAAATGGATGTAAAATGTAGGCGGGAATCGAGAGTTAGGGTGCGTGGTTCTTTGCAGCCCTCCATGGGCAAGTGGTGGAGTCTCCAAATGAGTGAAAAATTCTCGAGAGGGACGTTAATTAAACAACATACAAACTGTAACAAATTATTCATGATTTATAATACTAGAATTTTTGTTTCCATTTCAATAAACATAGTGTACATTAATCTCTTTAATTTAGGAATATTTTTGCGATCTGCCAATATCTGCTGTGACTTCTAATAGAATTATGGCCTTTTAATAACCATCTACCGGAAATCTGGTGCTCTCTTTGGTTTATGTTTTTCCAAGGTTACAACCTCTTCAGATGTTTACGGTACTTCTCATGGGGCTTTATATTAAAAGAATATTGAACATCCACATCTTTATCTTTTAAGATATAACCGGCTTTAAAACGATTCAAATCAATCAATTTGCAAACTGAGGTTCTCAAATGGCTGTCAATACTAAATTCTTCAAGTCACCTCTGCCATTTATTCTGTTTCATTTGATCGATAATAGTGTTTGGGATCCTAATCGATTGTTGATTAGGTGATACCATTTGCAAATCGCCTCTGTATCAAAGTTGGCCATCTTTTGATATGACGAAATAACCTGGTGGAGGCTCCTCGGCCAATGATCAAATATTTGTACGAAGTAAGTAAGGGCAATATGCTGAAACCGGGTACTTCTCATCGATCTGCGTGGAACGATGAACAGCGATCTGCTACTTTCACTGAAATCAGTCGCTATGGTTAGTCCATCAACATTATGCATAATACCTTCTGCATCATTTAAATTTTTATTTGAAACTGTTAACATTGGCCCGCAGTGAAAGACGGAACGATTAAAGATTCATGTACTCATTGAAAGCTTGACGTGGCGAGGATTCAAACTTCTTGGATCATGGGTATAACAAACAAAACCTACTTTAAGGTAAGATTTTTTTTGTTTTGTGTCTGCTTATTGGTTTGTTTGTTTGTTTGTTTGTGGTTATTATTTTTTTCTTTCTTAAATTAAAAATACATGTATAGATGAAACATAATATCTGATATAGATAAATTATTTATTCAGTTTTTTTTCCCTCATATTTTTTTTCTTTAAATCCCCCCCCCCCCCCCACCAAAAAAAAATATTGAGTAAAAATTCGAAATTACTTTCTTTAAAAAAATATTTCTCTGTGAATTTGCTTTTGGGTATACTGTGACCGAATTTATTTATTTAACACATTTGTCTCCGTGTCAGAAATTAGCCATTCATTGCCCAGAGCAGAAGTCGTAAAGAGCTGCTATCGACATTTGTCAACGACCAAAACCAAATTCCTGCCATTGATTAACTGTGCTTTAGTTTGTTAAATGATATATTCCATTACCATCTATTCTAAGAAATACTCTCGCTATCGATAAACAAAAATAAAACTTAATTGTTTCGATATCGAACTATCATAATCACAAACATTGTAATTTATTGTGTTTCCAAGGTCATTTGATACCAACGCTAAGATGTAAAATAAAAAAGATTGAATAGCATAAAATAAAAAAAAAATCAAGATTCGTGTTCGCTTCAATTTCCAGCAGAAAGAATCCGGTGTTTTTAATGTTATCACGCGGGTTCTTGGTGAATTCCTCGGCAACACATCACCGTCGTAGGCTTATATTTATTGTTAATCGAACCAGAATGTCATTTTCTTATTTTTTGAAATGTCTTGAGATAGAAAATGATGCACGTATTATTATTTGTTATCTTTTAATGATAATGGAGAGATTACTTGACTATGTTATGTGCGTTGTGACTAAATGATCGTAATCTTGCGAATATTTTTTTTTTCGTATGTTCTATAATTTTATTGCTAGAGTCTGCAAAACATGTCAAAGTATCCATGTCTTTTGTAAATAACTTTTTTCAAATCAAAACCGTTGTAAATCTTATTTTATGTATTATATTCCACACAATCCTCGCATGACTATCTTTTTGCTGTAGATGGGAAAGGCATGATACAAACGGAAGGCGCGAATTCATCTCCCCATCCCATAATTAGTTTCATGGCTAGTTCAAAGTTTATTTTTCCATTTTTTTCCCCTAAATATAAGGGTAATTTTTTTATGAAGAGAAAGGTGTCTGTGATTGCATTATAGGTCATTTTGTTCAGAGAGTTGGCGTAAGTAAATATGCTAGCGTCATAATTTTTTCCAATTTAATTTTAAAGAAAAAATACACAGAAAGCAATAAACCAACATGGATAAAAGAAGCAAGTCTAGTAAAAAATCATATACTACACTGTAAAAAGAGCTTTCCTCTCACCTAAGAATACACGTTAGTACATTTCTTTAATAAGAAATATCCTAAAAGTTCAGCTATTTATGTAATGCGGTTAAGAATGAATAAATACACATACATTGTATTAGTTTTATGCATGCTTATTTTCCTTTCTTATAGTGACTGTATCACTCAAAACTGAAAATGATAGAAAACGCAACAAAGTATATTAAACAAAGTAATTACTTTAGGAAGCACAGATATGTTCAAAAAGAGGTTTGTAATTCTCTTTTGCTAAAGATAATGGCACAAAAATCAACTTTAAAAAAAAAGCTGTTTTGATTTCAATGCGATGACATATGATTTTCAATCTAAATTACTGATTTCCCGGAAATCCCCGAGGTTCCTTGATGATAATGTCCGATGCAATGTGACTTAGTGCAATTACTTCTGGTTTTTATGAAGTATGTCTCTCAAGGTGTTTTTTTTTATGGTCTGCGAGATCTTTCTTAATCCCATGCATTTTCAATCAGATTTTTCAATAATGAAAATATTCTAATGTAATAGTTGTGTCAATATAATCTGAAATTATGACAAGCCAAACTTTAGAATTAGTATGAAATTCATAAGATTAAAAAAAGAATGTTCATCTCAAATCAACAGTCTTTGAATGACACACACTGTGTGACTCTTGAAGGATTAACTTTCGCGGTGAATGGGAAAGTGGGATTTAAACAAATTCAGTTTCTTATTAATAGGAATCAATCGTTTATGCATGGATAGGCCAAATATAGTTTTTTTTTGTCGTTTCTTTGTTTTTCTTGTTGAAGAAATATTACTTGAAGGCACATAAATTTGATTTGTTTTATTCCCCGACCCTCCAGAATTGCTGTCCAAAACGCATCGTGTACCCGCAAGATAAGCTTTATTTAAAGTTAGTATGGCAGTCAAAAGACAACACAAGCTATTTATAATGAGCTTTTGGCTGAAATTAGTACATTAATAGTAAAACAATAAGACATGTGCGCAATAAAATTATAAATATAAATGATATCAAAATATAAATCATTTAAGAAATTTGAATCAGTATTTCAACACCGCTGAAGATTTTTAACAGAAAAGCTAATAAATAATGAAAGGCGTATATAACATAAAGGAGAGAAGATCATCCAATCCAATTTCGAATGTAGTATTTGTCCTTTAAATGCATATAGAAATATTTGTCTTACTTTGTGTAATATAAATCTAAAATGTTTAAAATTTAAAAGAATAATTATTAAAACTTGATTTTGCTTCTATATATATTTCCATGTTATTTACTAGGTATTGCATAATTCCATATTTCCCTGGACAGTGCTACGTTTCGGACTCTCTTTTTCAATAGGGCATTTTCTACTGAGCTGGAAAACAATGGTCAATGCAGGAGAAATCATATTTTTATGAAGTTTAAATCAACAATTATGTCACACTATTGTTCAGTTTGACACGTTATTGAAATATGGTTTATAGTAATCCTTGGATTATTTCGTAACACACGTCGCTTTAATTGCGAGGACATTTTAGGTGTCCGGTCATTTTTAGAAGAATATCGTTTTTTATATAAATTGTACAAGTATACTGTAAAATATCTATACATACAAGAATTAATGGATTATGATTCCCAAAAATCCACGGTTTGTACGTTTTGATTTTTCCTCAATACTTTCAAATTTATATATTTTTGATATAGGAAAGAGAAGAAAAAACATCATTTAAAAAAAAAGATAGCAATGAAAATTGTGTTCCAATTGAAAGAGAAAACTGCAAAATAATCGAAAGGACAAAACGATAGTGCAACAAAATCGGTCCAGTATAAATAGAAATGTTTACTTTTTATAATCATTATTCATGTTTACGTTTTAGAGTTTTAAAAGTATGAATACATGTAAAAGACATATAGAAGAATTGAATTGACAATTGATATTGTTCATTGCATTTCAACAAAGCATGAGTATTACTTATTTAAATGAGCCTGAAATTAAGCATTTGGGCTATATAAATATTATTATTAATGATTTGGTCATCACTTTTTATTTCAAATAGACGGGTAATCAATGCTTCATTTATTTATGGTGTTAATTTACGCGATTAGAATTGATGTCAAGCAGTCTGTCTAGAAGTTTTCTCTGCAGCTCTGATATCGAACGGATTTACCTTACTTTGAAATTCAGTTTAAAGAATTTGTCGTACAGAAGCTTAAATTAGAAATTTTATGCGTTTGTTCTAATTTCTTTGATGACACATTCAGACATTCATTTTTTCCTGTGTTAAATTCGGTTCCATAATGGCATTTCGGTTTCCTGTACAATGAAACAGCAAGTTTGCTTTCTCCATCAGAATCTTTTAAGTTTGTATCAGTGTTGCCAAGTAAAAAAAAAATACACTAGATAATTGATTAAATCGGCTCGTATGACGCGATACACCCCGAACTTGTGATTGATGCATTTTTAGCTAATTGTTATTTTACTCCTTATTTTCAGGTAGTTGTCAATTGAAAAAAAGAGAGGGTAAACATGGTAAACCTCTACAACTACACGTGTTCCTACGAGGGACTTCTACTTCCGGTTATGAGTGAATACACGTGGCCGATAGGGGTGCGGATCTTCCTCTATCTTATAGCGATGTTCTGGTGCTTCATGGGCACATCAATAGTTGCAGACTCTTTCATGTGTGGAATCGAGAAAATAACCAGTAAAACAAAAATTATTCGCATTCCAAATGCCGAGAAAAAAGAAGATAAAATGTTAGAAGTCAAAGTCTGGAACGATACAGTGGCCAATCTGAGTCTGATGGCTTTTGGTACAAGTGCTCCAGAGATTTTATTGTCTGTTATAGAAATAGTCGGAAACGAATTCAAAGCAGGGGAACTTGGTCCTGGAACTATTGTCGGTTCAGCAGCATTTAATCTTCTAGTTATTACAGGAATTTGTGTCATTTGCATTCCAGATGGAGAAATTCGCAAAATTAAAAGCATGCCTGTATATATCACGTGTACTTGCTTTAGTATGTGTGCCTATATTTGGATGGTAGTGGTTTTAAAGTGGGTGACACCGGGCGTTGTTGATATATTTGAGAGCGTGATAACGTTTTGTATGTTCCCCATTCTTCTTATGACAGCGTTTGGTGTGGACAAAGGTTGTTGGTGCAAGCGGAGAAATAAAACCTCCTCAGAACTGGAAATAGGCATAGGTAAGTCAAAGTAAGCGGAATAAGTATATCATGATACACGGAATAGGTAAGTCAAAGTAAGCGGAATAGGTCTTTATGTAAGCGAAATAGGTATACATGTCAAAGTAAGTGTTATCCGTTTGTCTGTTGAGGCTTGTCTGCAGATAGACCCGTAGCAACATTTTCAAAAGTGGGAGGGGGACCTCCCCCCCTAAAAAATAACTGCCCAAATCCTGTAATTTGCCAGTGCTCGACCTTACAGCAACAGAAAGTAGGGAGGGGGCAACCAGCATCTAAATGAAAGTTTACTATAGCAAAATAACTTACTCAGAAAAAATTGAGGGCCGTGCCTCCCTGCCCTCCCCCCTGCGTTCTAAGGGCCTGGCAGATATGCAGCTCGCTGGTCTAATAAAAAAAAATGGGATGGACGACTAGAGAGCTACAGTGCCTACCATTGTAAAAGTACATATTTATTGCGCACAAAAAGTGCGCTATTTCTCGATTTATTTCTCGTGTATTTAAACTACAATCTCAAAAAATTACTAATCGTATGTTCCTTACATATCTCTCACTATTTCCACATCAAAACATTTCCTATAACCAACAGTTCTGCCCAACGCTCTTCATGCAGATTTCGACTACAGACAAGCTGACAGAGGTCTAAGGATTATCTTGAAACTGAGCTTTTGTGTGGTGTGGTTGAGGTATAAATCCAGAACTGAGCACAACTTTTTTGTGCGCGATAAATATACATTTTTTTCTATGGTTGGCACCGTAGCTTTCTGTCGTGCATCCCATATTTTTTTTTAGACCAGCGAGCTACAAATCTGTAGCTAATTGAAGCTCAGATATCATGATTTAGCATGGTCTCGATTTTGGTTGCTATCAGAATAATCGAATCTCTTCTGTCGATTGTTTAGAAATAATTTCTTTGTTATTAGTTAGACCACAACCTTAATCGTGCTCACTCGACCACCTGACGTAATACGATAACGTCGGAAATAAAAGGATGGTGCATCTTAAATTACGTCAAAGAATAGCTGTATCAAAACTTTAAGGCTCGAATATTACTTAAGAGAACAGGAGCAGGTTTCATATAATTGAACATGATTGACGCACTTTACTAATGAGTGATATATTTACGGAAGATAAACAAGATTAAATATTTATTTCACCATCAAATTTATGTTGGAAACAAATGATTCGAGTGGTATTGTTTTTTAGAATCGATGAAGGTCAACACAAAAAAATCGATGATTAAATTTATATGATTCCATTTTGTAAACTGGAAAAGAAAAAAAAAAACAAAGAAAGTCATTTTGTTTACATGTGCATAAGATAATCCAATTTTGAAATTGTCGTGTAACAGTGTAGTTAATATTGACTAAATTGATAGAACACTTAATCTTAGCGCCATCATATTGGATACTTAATTGTCTATTGGCCTGTTAGACGTTATGACAGAACATTAACAACATTACGCGCCTGCTGTAAGGATGACTAACGAGGTTTTCTTGGTCAACGCTCTGGATTTTTTTTACCAATCCTTCCTGTTATGAAGACTGATTTTTCATCCGATTACCAATATCGCACGAACGACTCCAAAACTTCCGGAAAGCTTCTGCAAGTACTAAACTAGGTTTTCAATATAATAACAGCGAGTGTTGTATCATAATCAGCATATGCTGAAAATGGACATTTGTTGATAGAGCTAGAAATCATAAGAACTGATAAAGACTTTTTCAGCACATTTTTTGTAAAAATTAGCTTTTAACACCTTAGGTATAGGCCTAGTATTTGAAACAGACTGTTTGCAGAAAGAAAAAAAAACCCGCTGAAATGTATTGATTAGAGCAAAAACTTTTAACAGCTTAAGTTATATTTAAACAATACCATATTTATTAACTGACATTTTCTCTTTACATGTAATTAAGTTTATTAAGAAATACAAACTGTACTTCGGGTTCGTTGCCATGATGCTCTCAGTGGCGAATATGCACATTTTACTGATAAATTTATTAGTATATCCTACCAATAATCTTTCGATACATAAATATATTCACAACTTATATAGTGTTTTCAATTGCTTTACCATTATTTCCACGCCCATTTACACCAAAGCTTTTTTGTATATTCATAATCGCCTCGTTTTATCTTTCAACATCGGGCTCGATGTCATATGATGTTCTAGAAACTTCCGTCAAGATTAAGATCGGTGAATAACGAAAACGATTTGCACATTTTTGCTTTTTTATCAGTTATCACACCTTATTTAGTTTATATCACTTAATTCAAGTTTTGATCGGATAATTCAGTAATGACGTTTTATGAAATAAATACACGATTGCTTGTTGTCAGTTTCATTAAATCGCAGGTAACTTAGATCCGCCAACCGTAACCACCACCGTACTCTCTTTTTTGCTATTTCTGAGCTGTTTATCGAAAAAGAACGTAGACTTTTAATTAAATTTACGATAATTACTATGCAAGTGAAATCCAAATATAGTTTACGGACATCACCTCCTACCTAGTGTATTCTTAGAGGAGTAAGTATGAACTCTGATGCAGGCGTTTCGGAGCTTATTTGCAAAGTTTAATTAATTTAATAGTATAGATTGCACACACACACACACACACACACACCCTCACACACACACACACTGACGTTGGTTCGAGGTTATCTCTGTATTTTTAAGCTACAATCTAAAATGTTACTTAACGTGTGAAATTAACATTTTGTTCTAGTACCTTACAACAAAACATTCCCCACATGTATCTAGCTGCCTGAAATTGAGACCATAATTGAGACCATAGAAACTATATATGTATCTGCCGTTTTAGGTGACATGACAATTCGTTCCAACACCGTTCGCCTAGTTTTGTTTTCGGTCTTTTGAGTCACTTTTTCCCCACTCTGGAGTCAATATAAGTTCATTTCATATAAGTCAATATAAGTTCATTTCATTCGATTCTTGAAAATATTTAAATACGATTAACTTGATCTAAGTCATATTTAATATCAGCTTGAGAAACGAGAGTGATTCGATTAACTGTTACGCCACTTAAAATTGCTTAATAACAAAATTCTGGACCAGGTATGAATTTAATGCTTCCAATTCATGTGCTCTTGATCCCGTCCAATCAAATGGCCTTAAGTCATCGTCCCGACATACCCTCTAATCATACACTAGTACTTTCCTTGTACCAAACATGAGGTAGTAATGTTTATCCATTACAAAATTGCGCACGGCACTGTTGAAGTGTAAGTTGCGGGTCTTTCGGATGAGACCTCTAAAATTGAGAGGACGTTGGTATAATAATGAAACCAAAATGTTGAATGCCTAGTAAATTAAGGCCCTTCGCCGGAATCCTGTGACATCTCATAGGAGTGAAATAATATTGGAGGGGACCTAAAATAACAAATAATTAATCAACCAATTTCAAAGTTAAAAGGTAGGCCAACATATCTCGATGAGATTACCTTATAAATCGATCTTAGGTCAAGGTCACATCATACCCTCAGATCATAAGCTTACTTTGTGTAAAGTGTGAGCCTTGAAAATTTCTCCATTACAAAATTATGTACCAGACAAGAATTTTATTGTTCCAGTCTGTGATCTTGTTCAAGTGACTTTAAGTCCAGTTCTTAACACTCTTTGCTACGCTACTGTGTTACTACCTAACCAATTATGGCGTCTTTGTATAAAATATGAGGAAGGGCAAAGATGGCGGAGATATACACCAGGAGGCAGACGAATCACTATATCCGATTTCGTCGACAAAGAAATTTTTTTTTTCTAAAAAGACAAAAGAAATCAAATTGTCTTCGTATAGTATAGGTCAATATTATGGTCTGCGGGGCTTACATTAAAGTTTTGAAAGGAGTGTCTGAGAAAGGGATATGTCTGTTCCGTTCCTTGATTCAGGAATCAAATACTTATTTTAATTTGATTGGTTTATAAGATTTAACGTTATTCATAGCAGTTGGGGGAAAAAATCCTAACATATGAAGCAAATGTTATATTAAAGATGATTGTTTTGTTATTTGTGATGGTCTTTATTCAGCTTAATAAATGCGTATTCTGTAGTTTAGATGTTAGTTTTATTTATTATACCTCTACTGAATTTTCCCTGTATAACATTAGATCGTTAGATGTGACCAATTCCCTAGAAATCGTTATGAATGGACTATGAATAATCTCCGTGCGTTAGTCAAGTGAGCTAATCCCTGCACCAAAAGCTAATTCCAGATTATCCGTAATCCTCTAGATTTACTTTTACATTGGTATGATATGTGAATGGACTAATCTCCGTGTGTAAGTTCAGTGAGCTAATCCCTGTTATGATATCACGCTATCTGAATCTTCTAAATTTTACGTTTGTATCGGCATAATAAAACAGTTAAAATTCCAGTTCACCTCGACCAGGACTATTTCCCTCGGCTTCGCCTCGGGAAATAGTCCTGGCCTTGGAGAACTGGAATCTTGCTAACTCCCTCAATGATATACTTTAACTGTATAATAATAATAGTAATTTTAGATGATTTGGGGGGGGGGGTGGTTATCGAGGCGGGTTAGTACTCATTTTCTCTAATTCGACAAAGTACTAAGGACGTTTGGATGGTGCTTAGTATTCATAAATATATTATATTAGATGTTACATGACCATGAATTTTACTTTGAATAGGAAAGATCATAAAAGTTCAACTATATAAAATGTATTTCATGTGATGTCCCCCTTTCCTACGTAGTTTTCATTTAGACATGCTAGAATTTATACCACTTAAACAAAGCAACTATCAATTTTTGAGCTACCTCTAATCTTGAAAGGATACGTTTTTTGAATTCTAAATAATTTAAATTAATTGAACTTTAATTCCAAATTTCCCAAAGGACACTGCCAATGTCTACAATATGTTACCTAATTAGAATTAACATGGCGACGTCAGTGAAATATTTAACGAGCCATACAGTTTCTATATTCTCATGAGATTTGAGAGAGAGTAATTTGTCACTAAAGAAAGTTAATTCCAACACATTTACTGACACTGAAAGCTACTTATTTGGGTGTTGGGATTTCTCAACATTGCGCGATCCATAAGCACATTCAAAGCAAAGCAAGCAAGTCTTAATAAATTGTAATATACTTTTACTAAATTGTGGTTTAGGTCATAGAAATGGTTCTTAAAGTTTTCGGTGGATATTGTTCAGTGTAGAGTACTGTTTAAATTCTAACTACCTGTATTATGAAGCACGGGAAATTGAAGTTTAAATACCAGAATGTCAACGAAAAATTCATTGTAAATATAAGAAAAACAATATATTTTGCTTTGGAGACTATATCTGGCCACCATGAACTTTATTTTTGTCATTTTTACTTAATGTGTTACTTTTCATAAAAGCATTCTCATATTTTAGTTGTATAAACATGTTAAATATTAATATGTAAATCTATCATGTCCCATAGACAGATATTAGTATAGCTAACAGCAACACCATGCTAAAAGTGTATGAACTATTTGAGAAAGACAAATGAGCATCGATCACGTTTCCTGATATAATCTTTTATGTACCATTTGGTCCACTATTGTCTTTCGTTTTATCATTTGCAAATAAATATTTAATGTCGATTCCATTATCAAGGTTTTCCTTATTTTTATACATCAATCGAACCTTTAAATCAATACAGTACTAGATTTTACTTTTTGGTTTTTTGAACATTTGCCAAGTGTTATCCTATATGCAAATCAAGCATAATCAACAGATGCAGTATAGACAGAAAGGCCTTCAATGTGACACAAGTCGAAATTTACAATTTTATCTATAATGCAAGAAAATTTGGAACAACTTTTACCCTTTATTTTAGAATTTAGCAAGATTGATGCAGACGACGAATCGGAAGCCACGGTAGACATCATTCACATGGCGAAGGATCTGAGCAGGAACCATAAAGAACTGACGGAGGACGAGGCAACACTTCTACTGACTAAACAGTTACAGGAACACCACCACCACAACGCGGGGTGGTACCGGGTACACGCCGTCAGGGGCCTTACTGGCGGCCACCGACTTCTTCCCAAGATTAACCACACTTTGAAAGAGGTACATATGTAGTGGAAAGCAACCAAAAAACAAACATAAAAAAAAACATTGCCCATTAAAAAAAACTAAGCAGTGAAATGTATCATTTCCTTCACTGACGAAAAATACAGTAGGCCTTTGTACTACATGTGCAGTAGGAATATCAATTTTGATACGGAAGTCTATCTTCCCAGAAAATGGCAAATACAAAAATTAAAATGTGATAAAATTCCTTGACTAGATTAAAAAAAAATGCTAATTAGCTCTTTAGTTGTGTTGTGTCATAGAGGATACCGATATTTAAAATATATTTAACATACTTATCTAACATACTTATAATACAGCTAAATAATTTTTTTTCAGCTCTATGAAAAAATAAATAGACAAAAAGAAATGGAACAACACATGAACGAAAATATGGATGTATCCACGGTGGATCTAAGCGAGAGTGGAACGCGGGCTGTGGTGGAATTTACGGCTTCCTCTGTTGCAGTATTGGAGAATGAGGGGAAAGTCCGAGTGGGTATAAGGCGATACGGCAAAGTGGACATCCCTGTCACAGTCAGGTACGTCATTTTGTCATAAAGTATTCACTGATTTTATTTTGAACAAATCATATCAAAAGGATTCATTTTATAGAAGAAAAAAAAAACACCAAGACGTTCCAATATATGTGTGCTTGAGCGTATAATTGTACAGTGTATATTATACGATCTTTGACATCAAATATAAGATAATAACTTTTATGTCAATAATTATGCACTTTTCGTCAACAGAGTAGAAACAATCGACGGAAGTGCCGAGGAGGGAAGCGATTACAAGCCTTTGAAAGAAGATATTACGTTCGCCGTCAATGAGAGGTTACGCGAGGTCTACATTGAAATCATAGATGACGACGAATGGGAACCAGATGAAATCTTCTTTGTCAAGCTGAGTTTACCTCACGAACAAAAAGATGTCGTGATAGGAAAAATGGCAATTAACCAAATTACCATTATAAATGATGATGGTAAATATTACAAAAATAGTAATCACTATACAATATACATTGAGGGCAGAATGCCTTTTATCGGACCAAAGAACAAATCAAGTCCCTAGGTTCGAGGATTCGGCAAAATGCATGTTACCCAAACCAAAGTCAATAATTGTTATGTAATACCTTTTACTTTTTATCATAACGTATCCTGCACTAGCTTCCATTTTTGCGATGAATACCATGTTATGGCAAGGTAAATTTATAAATAATAGATGAATAAAAATTAAAGAAAAATACTTTATCTTAGTGCATTAAATGCTCTTCAAAGATTAGGAAAGGCCAATATAAAAGTGATGTATATTTCGTTTACCCGCAAAATGCAAACAAGATATAGCTGATTCCGCCTACTCTGACGTAAGGAATGTCATAGCGGTTCATCATCTTACCGAGCGCTCCAACATCAGTAAAACATTGGTAAAGCGTTATAAAGGAAACGATTTTAAAGGGAAAATACTCTTCTCCAATATTGAGCGTAATTTTTTTGACTGTTTTTGTCTTTCTTGTAGAACCGGGTAAAATAGAATTTTCAAAACCCAGCTATATTATCCGGGAAAGCAACGAATGTGCTCAAATTTTTGTCAACCGAGTGAACGGAGCAGACGGTACAGTCACCGTTAGGTGGCGCACCAAAGATCTTACAGCGGTTCACAACAAAGACTATACAGGAGGAGAAGGAACGCTAACTTTTGAACATGGGGAGACAAGCAAAACCATCAATCTAAAAATCCTCGAGACTGATGTAAGTTTTTTTTACGTTTGAAAATGTAAAATTTTGTGGTCCCTATAAATGACAACTGATCGCCTTTTAAGGTTTATTTCTTATTTCAATAATCCAAACAATTTATATTTTATCATGTTTTTATTACCCTATTAAGTATCCATATGCAAATATCATAGATGGCATCGCTCGCATTCTACAAGCAATTGCAACAACTAATATCATGATCAGTTTCAAAGTAAATCTCATATTCATCTAGAATCAATTTTTCTAATGTTAAATGTAATATAGATTATTACTCTATGAATGGTGAGTTTTACACATCACAGATATCGATTGATTTTCAAAGTTGAGTAGTTTATTGCGAACGTAACAAACACGGGGCTTCGATTAATCACAGGAGTCGTTTCAGTGGTTCATTAGTGGCTTCATGGGACTCAATCTTGAGCTTCTGTCTTAATTGAAAGTATAAATAACTTTTGAAGTTTACAGGTTAACTAAAATACAATGTGTATTATTATCCTGAAATCGCATATTGGAATTGAAGTTTATAATATTTTAAAATTCGCTATATATTTTTATTCAATATATAGATGAATAAAATTTAAACAAAAATAAGTATTTTTGAATTCACTTCACTTCTTTTTTTTCCTGATATTTTTAAATTATCTTAATGTGGGTTATTATTCTAATTCAATCAGATTCATGACGGAAAAGAACAGGTAACATATGACGTCACTTCCGAAATATATTTTGTGTGAGCTACCGATATGAAATCATGTGGTATTGTATCCGACTGGACTCCAGTTGTCAGATCCAAGTTACTACCTGTTTCGAGAATATTATCAAGTTTATTATCCCCTAATACAGCAACCAATTCCCACGCCAAGCTGAACAAAAAAAACCTTGTTATTATCGTTCAATAGACACCAAGTAGACAGTGAAGTTTTAATATATCTACTGAAACCACATCAATGTGTTGAAAATACCATGGAAGAATTCGTGCCGCGTTAAATGGTTTCAAAGACTTGTACACCATGGCGCAATAAAACGGCAACCAAATAAAGACGGCAGTATACCAGAAAAAAAGAGTCAATCTAGTTACTCTTTACTTAAACAGAATAAAACAATGAAAGGGAATCTGAAAGTTGAAGATTAGTAATGAAATATGTAGAAAACGAAAGGTATTCAAGCTTAAAAAGTCCATTGAAATAATACAAATTTGGAGCAGAGCAAAAAAGGACCTTTAAAAATATCAGAGGTGGGACCAGGTGCCATGGGGAAGTAAGCATCCCCTGTCCACCGGTCACACCAGGCGTGTGCACTCGGCACACCTCGGCCGATTCGTACCTCATCAAACCTCGGCTGTATCATGTAAACCTCCATTGAGCCGGAGCTACTTTATACGCAATATGGCTGCGCCCTACATTTACACGTGCACAGTGCTGAATTCGATCCGTTAACAAACATGTGATTATGTAAAGAAACTAAGTGCATTTTTCTTGGTAAGTGTTATTCTTAGTGTAACCTGTATGCTTTTGAAAATTTTCATCGTATATCAGATGCATGTTTATTATCGTTTTCAAAGCGTTACGTTTTCCCTAAGCGGTAAACAGGCAGCCTTATCACAAATGTTAAGCGGAGACGCATATCAAGTTTCCTAGTACAGCCGATGTTTGATGAAGGTGACGGAATCAGCCGAGGTTTGCCGAATGCAGGCGTGTGCTTATTGTCATGATCGGGCAAACGAAAAATCCGTAGACAAGTCAGGCCATTCCATTGGCAAGTTTTTTTTTCTCTGTTTAGCGTCTACCCATCTTTCAAAAACCTATCTACCTATTCGCAAAAAACACACAAACCAAAAAATAAAACACAAACTTTATCTATACTACTATATTAAAATTATAGATTTGAATTTTTGGCCTTTAATACCGATAAATCGGAAGAGCACTGTCTTTTGTTTTATATATTTTAAACATCATTGGTACTTGAAGATTACCAATTTGTTTTTATTTTTTCTCAATTAAGCTTCGCTAATTAATAATCAACGAAAATTCCTCAAAAAATTCCGGAAATCATCTGGATTTTTTGGATTTTACAATCTTGCGATTGCACATTACATTCACGCTAAATCACGGTGCTCAAATCAGAGAAGACGAAAGTAAATACTAAGTAGATATATATTTGTTATTTTATGATTTCTCTAATAAGAAATTATAAATATATATGAACAGAAATATAGCAAATTTCCAATGAAAATTTACACGTATTTGTATTATCGTTTCTGAGTTTATCCATGTAAATGTGATATTGTGGCCACGTGGGTAATCATTCGCCATCTCGGAGACACATTTATTATATGTTATTTATGTCTCTGGCCATCTCAACGGAGGCAAAAAACTCATGATCGTATGAGCAATATTAATGAAACTACCCGATTTTATTTTATCCTTCCTTTCTTTTATGCTTTTTTGAGAGGAAGGGGGGGGGGTTACAACTCCAGCTAGAATCACATCTTAGTGAAGTAGGCATTCTTTTTCCGCCAAAAATTACAATAACTACTATATTAAAATTATAGACTTGAATTTTGGCCTTTAATACTGATAAATCGGAAGAGTACTGTTTTTGTTTTATATATTTTAAACATCATTGGTACTTGAAGATTACCAATTTTGTTTTTATTTTTTCTCAATTAAGCTTCTATTTTTATTACTTTTTCTATGTACTAATTCAAGGATATTACATTAACTTTTATCAAAACAGACAGTCTTGAGAGCATTTTCTTATATCATATATAAAGTACATTTGATATTCATAATTTTTATTATGATCTCTTGAACAACCAGTATGTTTTTTTGGGGGGGCGGGGGGGTATTTGCAAGATAATCTGTTCTGCTTCACATCTGCTAAATTGTGTAAAAATACCAGTGTACCACATTTGTCCATTTTCATTTCTGCTTTTACAGATTATATACATGTCTATTACCTGTGTATATATAAAGTATATGTATTAGTAGTGCTTAAGTCTTTTATTGTTGAGGTCATATTTTGAACAAGCTGAGACCTGCAGTGTTAAAATTGTTACAAATTTTTTTACACCGTAAGTTTAATAACTGATTGTGTAAAAATACCAGCTTAGTACATTTCTTCATTTTCATTACTTTGCTTGATATGTATCAGCAGTGCTCAACTCTTTGTTGATGTCATATTTTCAATAAATATCCATAATTTCTTTTATTAAATTTGTTTGGAAAGGTGAAATTTATGTAAGCTCCGGCGTGATTCGAACTCAAGACTTGATTTATAGCTAACTGGGGATCAAATCCATTCTGCGCTACGCCGTTACGCAACAATTTTGAAAAATTTTGAAAAAAAAAAACCAAACAAACAAAACAAAACACAAACAAAAAAACCCCCAGAATTATATTCACATTCATTGTTTATTTCAAAAGTACCTTACAACATGAATGTGTCAAAGTCTAGTAGTCATAAAAATAACGTCGCTCAAAGGATTTGATTTCATTATTCTATTTTTCTCGCAGAAAAAAACCTATTCTTCAGCAAAATCAAGGTATTCAATGCTTACAATATCCTAATTTGACATATTGTAGACAAATATTTTGAGAAATTGACAGAATTCAGTGATTTTGACCAGAATATTCAATTTGAGGACTCATGACTTTGTTTGTTTTTTGTGATATGTGGTGTCAAAAACCAAGGCGCACGCGGACGCTAAACATAGAAAAAACTTGGAATGGCCTGACAGTGTGTAAATAATGGCTTAACAATATGTATGTTTCAAGTGATGTGATTTTTAAAATTAAAATAAATCAAACCTCAGATCTCATGATGTGTAATGCATGTATTTTGGTTACAGAATAACTAATGCATTTCTAACTATGCCATCAGAATATTTCCAATTGTTGTCCAAGACAAAGGTACTTCTTTTTAAAGCTATTATTTTCACTTTTTTTATTCATACCGAAATTTCTTCTTTCAACTAAACAAAGAAAAAGTCCCATGTTTGATTTTAGATATAGTTTTTCGTTAAGGTAACAAGTTGTATACAAACCACAGTCCTATTCAACTACTGTTAATAGTAACTGTACTTCTAGTACTGGTGATCTAAGAGCACTGATCTAGCCAGTAACAAGTCAACCGACCAGGATAAAAACAATACCACTTGAATACATATCTGCTGCTTTGTAAATATATTTAAAGAAAATTATGATAGAATTAATTAATAGAAATTTAGCGTAGCATTTTAAATATTTTAATGTTGTACAATGTAAATACCATTCGTTTAGAATTTACATAACAACCCATGTACAACTTAGGATTTTGTAGCAAGCACTGAATGTAGTAAGCACTGAATTTTCTTTTCAATTGTAAAGTTTGGTTTCTGAATACAAATTTTAATCCATTGTCTTAAGTTTTTGTCATCATTTGTGCATAGAAGCCAAACCTTACAGTTTAAAAATGAACTTGACTTATGATGGTTTAACTAAGGTTACAGGTAAGCAGGATTTGTTGTTCCATGAATTGCTTTGTCCTTTGTTTTTTGCCTTTATACAGAGATTACCATTATGGACATTTCCATGTACACACAGCAGAAAGAAAGAAAAATAAAAACTAACACACAATAAAATTTGTTTCTAAATTTGTTTTTAATTTATAGAAAAACGATGTAGGTCACTATTATTTCACCTACTTGTACAGGTGTTGGAAAGGGATCACAGTTTCCAGGTAGAGCTATTTTCGCCGTCAACCGGTTCTTCCCTAGGAAAGATCAGCAAGGCGATAGTCACCCTCGTCAATGACACCGGTGAGTAATTAATATTTCTGGGAGAGAGTGGTAGTAGTGACGGTTGTGAATTCTTTAGCATTGGATATCAAGAATCTGTTAGACAATATTACACAATTATTCTTTTTTAAGGGCAATACGCTGATTTAGCTACCCGAAGAGTAGGGTTTTGACAAAAGCAGCAAGATTGGACAACAAAAATAAACATAACCAATCGTATTAATTTGGAAGTTCCCAATCAATTTTGGTACAATTAAAAAAATCAAATGTTCACCTGAAAGGTCTGGTGCGGTTGAACCTGAATTTTTATGATTTTTAGAATGTTAAGAATTTTCTATCACGATATATTTATGACCATTTTTTTCTCAGAAGTCAAATTACATGTACTTCTGATTCAAACTAAAATTGGACAGCAAGAATGCCATGTCAACTGTGAAATGTGCTTTTCATTTTGCATATAAAAACATCTCATTAATTTTCAAGGTTTGATTTTACAATATTCTTGTTATAAAATTCCCATTTCACCTTAGTGCTTTTTTTTTTTTTTTTTACCTTTTCTTACCTGTATTTCGCAGTTAAAGCGAAATAGGAACACACCTTCATTTTACCCAATGTCATGTATAGCTGGAGCGAATTTACTCCTTTCAGTTTTCTTTTCGTGAATTTGATTTTCAGTGTTTTCCTTTTAGAATTTGATGGTCTTGTATCGAGAATTGCAAATCAAACAAAGAAAAATCTGGATGGGTTACGATTAGATACGACCTCGTGGAAAGAGCAGTTTAATGAAGCAATGAATGTAAATGGCGGGGACATTGAGAACGCCACACTCATTGACTACGTATTACATTTCATCTCATTTTTCTGGAAGGTAAATCACGTTATAAATGTAAACACACTTTAATAACGACTCTCCCAATTTATCGTTTAAGTTTTCTGATTTACAAAATAGATACCTTTTATAAATTTGAACATTGAATCATTCATATCATGATCATTACATGAAAAACGACTTACACTATTTCCTTTGTATTTCTCTAGGTTTTGTTTGCCTTTATTCCTCCGCCCTCCATTGCTGGTGGTTATCTCACCTTTTTTGGGTCTCTAGCGTTGATTGGTCTCATGACAGCTTTAATATCCGACTTAGCAAGCATATTCGGATGTTTAATTGGGTTAGAAAAGACTGTAGTCGCTATCACATTTGTTGCCTTGGGCACCAGTATGCCCGATACATTTGCCAGCAAGACGGCGGCAATCAACGAAAAATACGCCGACAGTTCCATTGGCAACATCAACGGAAGTAACGCTGTGAACGTCTTCCTCGGCCTGGGGCTCCCATGGCTGATTGCCTCCATATATTGGGAAGTCAAGGTTTGTGAATTTCGTCTGGTGTTCACCCATGTTTTAGACTAGTGAGCTACAGACCTTCGGCTAAAAAAAACTTCACTTTTGAACCTCTGTGGTTTGTCTAGACAACCACCCTCACAACGTCAGGGGCCCTGGGTCAACACGCTGCAACGGCAACGTGTTGACTCAGGACCCCTGATGTTGTGAGGATGCTAGACAACATGTCAATCATGATATATATCATTAAAACGAAATCCCTCCCCCCAAAACTCTGTGGCTTTAGGTAAAAATTATTGACATAAACTTTAAAGCAAAAGGGTCATTTTTGTGCGTGTATTTCGGGGGTAAGGGGGAGGGGACTTTCTATATCAAAATTTATGGTCAGCTTGATATGACAGCTTGATTCTCAACCGAAATCACTATATTTTGCTCACATTTAGCAGATCATGCGATGAAATGGCACCGACGCCCTGAAATAAATAAAGCTGGAGTATCTCCCCGATTTATCAACATTCAATTTATTGAGTGTTTAACAAAATCACAGAAGAAATTTGAAATATTTTACTTATTAGGAGACATAAATAACCCAATAAAAGTTAAAGAGAGTTCTGCTTGGTTTTATCCTGTCATTTAAACCAAAAGAAATTGAATTAAAAACGATATTCACCAAAAATGTAATAAAAAGATGTCGTCATTCATAATGGTCCGCGAAAAAGTACTTCCTTTGTGCAGTTATTATCTTCAAGGCTTTAAACGTTCAAGGACTGTAGAAGCTTCATTTGCATACCTGCACTCTTAACAATCATATCACATAATGATTAAAAAATTGAACCAACTGATCCTTTGTAATCATTCAGTATGACGTTTTACACCTTTTTCTTTTACAGGGGGAAAGCTTTACGGTACCTGCTGACACCTTGGTATTTAGTGTGATCTTGTACTCTTCCTGTGCAATTTTAGCCATTTTGGTTTTGCTGGTTCGGCGGAAGGTTGCTGCCTTTGGAAACGGTGAACTAGGCGGACCAAAGGGTTTGAAGATAGCGTCTGGATTATTTCTAGTGACTTTGTGGTTCTTTTATGTTATAATGTCATCGCTACAAGCATATAAAGTTATAGACATTAACATATAATAATGGTTGTGTCCGCCATTTGTAGGCTGTGATACATTTTTCGTCTAAATCTGTGATACGTTGTTGTTTTTGTTGGCTCTTGCTATTCATGTTATTTTTTTTCTCATATAAATAATATTACATCTTTTTGCTTTTCAATTCTCCATGTTTTAGGGGACATTTTTGTCAATGTGTGATAATCTATTCAACGTTTTAGACCTAGAACGACTTCTCTACTAGCGATAAAGTGAATATTAATCCATTTCGACATATAAGCCAAAGTAAATCATTTTACAGAAACCGATATCCATATTTTATATCCCTAGCTACAATCAATATACAGGTTAGAATTGCAGAAACGATTATCGATCATTAGAAATATGGGAAATGCTATGATGAGTTGTCCGTTTTTTGTTAAAATATTTGCATACACTAATCATTAAAGCGATGTACCATGTGATTCTGATGATAAGAATTGATTTTTTTCCAGCCTAAGACAATATATCGTAGGTCAGGGTTGTACACTTAGCATCTATAATCTTGCAATGAATTTAAGGTTCAATTTATATGTATTCGGTTCATAAACTTGCAATGAATTTAAGGTTCAGTTTCTACATAAGCGGTATATAAACTTGCAATGAACTTAAGGTCAATTTAAACGTACTCCAATTTATACGTACGAGGTTTATAATCTTGCAATGGATTTAATGTTCAAGACATAAGCAGGTTCTACAAGTCCTAGTTGAAGATCTATAGTTCATTGGTCTGAAAATTCTTGGAAGGAGGTCCAGCGATGCATATCATCAACCTAAATAAATTTGATAATTCTTAAGCGAATATCGAGAGAGAATTATCGGGGACCAGAAAATGTACAAAATTGACTTCCAACGTGTTTCCACTGTACCCACGGAGATTGAGACTCAACCTCCCCAGTTAATTTTAAAACAGTATTTTCAACGTTAAAATACATTTCAACTCGCTAGTTTGCCATTTTAGCACATTTTTAAACAGTTGAAAGTATACCGTTTAGCATATGAAATCCTAAAATTTATGGCAAAGTTTGAATTAAGAGGTGGAAACTCTCCAATAATTACATTTTGAACATTAAAACGTAGTATTAGAAATATATAGTTCATTCTATATACATGTGTATGCGATACATCTTTGCTTGTGAAAAATACATACAAAATAGTTTCACATTCATTGTTACAAAAAGGATAATTGTCGCTTTCTTTTCTCTTTTTTAAGATGGTCTTTAACAGAAAAATACTATCTATTAATAGGTACATTTGTAACTTCTGTTTATGATAGTAAACTATAGTTTACTATTGTATCAAAAATTTTACAATGGTAAATCAAAGTATTTTGACTATGGATTTCAGATTGTTATATTTTATGTTATCCAATTCATACTTGTCATACACATTTTGTTAGGGTAGATTTACAGGCAGTACTAGTGTTTTATGTAAACTTCTAAACTGTAACCATTGCACATCGGAATTTGGAGATTTCTGAAACCACACTTTAAAAATATCTTTGAACTCCATTTCTGGTAAGCCTATCTGAATTCTATTCAGGGAATTAACACAGTAGGCTTCACATTCTTCAAGTTAATACAAGTACTTTCATATATAGGTTATATATAGGTTTTATTTATCTATTTTATTTATCAGTCAATATCAATAATTTTATGTAACAGTGGTAAAAAGGGACGCTCTAACTTTGCAAAATTTTCTCTGGAAAATTGTATCTGCTTTAAAAATTTTGAAATAGCACTGATGAATTTGGAATTTTTCCACAAATTAAATTCTCTCTAGACAAAAAAGAACTTATGACATATAAGAAATCATCAATTATATACCAGTCTTTATTACAAAAAAAAGTAAAACAGAACAAAAACAAACAAAAAAAAAACAAACAAACAAACAAACAAACAAAAAAACAACAAAACAAAAAAAAAAAAAACAACAACAACAACAAAAAAACAAAAACAAAAAAACCACACTTTTTATTTACTTTAACAGAAGCGTTGAACCACACGGAGATGATAAAATTTCAGAATGTGTAACTTTCAACTTGTTAAAACATTACTAACAGCCAAAACTCTAAAACATCTGTCCAAAATGTAGTACATTTCAAAAGTTTCAACACAAATACAATCATCATTTATTAATTTTAATAATATATTATCAGGATCTTGTCCATGTATTATTTCAAATCTACTCAGCCATGAGTGGCTTCCCTTAATGCTCCTTAAAAAAAAGAAAAAAACTATTTCGTGGTGGCAATGGGGGGGTGGGTTCCACGTTTTCTAGGAGAGGGGGTCCCAAGTCATTTTTATTTGCTTCAGTATAAACTTTTAATAACTTTGCAAATTCCGGGGGGGGGGGGGTCCAGCCCCCCCCCCTTCCTCTAGATCCGCGCATGTCTATTATTCCACTAGATATGAGATGATGTCCACAAACTATATTCAGATTCCATTTACATACTAATTTTCGTAAGTTTAGTTAAAAGTCTACTTTCTTTTTCGATAAACAGCCGTGAAATAGTAAAACAGAGAGTACGGTGGTAGTTATGGTTGGCGGATCTAAGTTACTAGCAATTTTTATTGAAACTGACGACAACAGTCGTTTGATTATTTAAAAAAAAGGTCATTAATGAATTACTCAGTGAAAACCTGATTTAAGTGATACAGAAGAAGTAAGTTATGATTACTGATTAAAAACCAAAATGTGCAAATCGTTTTCGCCAGTATCCGATCTTAGTTTTATACATCTATATCGTCATGGAAATTTCTAGAACTTCAGATGACATCGAACCCGATGTTAAAAGAAAAAAACCCGAGGCAATTATAACACTACATGAATATAACAAGTTAAATTGATGCAAAGCATCAAATCGGCCGCGAAAGATATTTAGCATTTTAAAGTATTTCCACAAGGAAGAATCCGAGAAAAAAATCAAAGTAGAAAAAGTACCGAAGTACAAATTGTATAAACTTGCAAAACAGAAAATGTCAATTAATGAAGATGATGAATATGGTTTTATGGATGAATAAGATTTTCAAAAATTATGCTTTTATAAATTTTTCTGCATACAGTCTGTTGTATTAAATGTAAGGTCTATACATAATTTAAGGTGTGAGAATCAAATTTTTACCCCCCCCCCAAAAAAAAATGTGCTGACAAGTTCACGAAAAATAACTTTTTACCTGTATATTCGTAGACTTTTAAACTTCTTTATCTATACTACTAATGAAAAATAAAATATTAATTCATCCCACAATTAGTAATTAAGAATAAACAAGCAAATTGAAAGAATTGTGGTCCCCCGCTTTCGGTGTCTTAGTCAAGTGGATAGGATGCCATTATTTATGGCATATTGTTACTGTCTTGTTTGTGTGTCCTGTCTTGTCTGTGCATTATACAAAAAAGACATTAATTATTGAATTAATAACAGTTATCGTGATGGTTATGACAAAGAGTATAGCTTCTCAAAACTACATCAAACTTCAAGACCAAGGTCATGAGGTCAAATATAATAAAATCCCCCAAAAGGTATTGTTACAAGTAATGCACATGTGAAACTAGAACTGTCCAAAAAGGACAAATACCCCCCCCCCCCCCCGCAGGGTTTTCAGAGAGGGTGCCAAGTCACTAATACTAGTATTTGATGGATCTAAGAGGTGTTCACAATTTGTTTAAACATTTAGAGGGAAAATTTACTGGTAATTGCTCATTAAACTTTTTTTTAATGAATGAAACTAAGGCGCAGCCTAATAAAACATCAATACTTATAATAACATTTTTTATTACATTGAAAAAATAAATAACAATTTTTCAAGTATTTCTCTGTTGGAAAGTATGGATGCATTATTTATCCATTTTTTCTACAGTGACTATAGGTCAAGATCATGACACACCCTCAGGTCATAAGCAATCTTTGTGCGAAGTGGAAACTCCCAACATCCCAACATTATTCTCCATAAGAAAGATACAGACCGCGCAAAGAATTATGAACTTTTTCTGTCAGTGATCCTGAACTTGCCCAAATGACCTTGGGTCAAAATCATGACACACCCTCAGGTCATAAGCAATCTTTATGTGAAGTGGAAACTCCCAACATCCCAATATTATTCTCCATAAGAAAGATACAGACGGACATGAATTATGAACTTTTTCTGTCAGTGACCTTGAAATTGCCCAAATGACCTTGGGTCAAGGTCATGACACACCTTCAGGACATAAGCAATCTTTGTGTAAAATGTGAACTCACCAAGTTTATCCGTAAGAAAGATATGGACTGGACACAAATTATGAATTTTTTTTTCAGTGACCTTGAACTTGCCCAAATGACCTTGGGTCAAAGTCATGACACACCCTCAGGTCATGAACAATCTTGTGTAAAATGGGAACTCACCAAGTTTATGCATAATAAGATATGGACTGGACACGAATTATGAACGTTTTCTTTCAGTGACCTTGAACTGCCTATATGACCTTGGGTCAAGGTCATGACACACCTCCAGGTCATAAGCAACCTTTGTGTGAAGTATGAGATTCTAATGTTCCTCCGTAAGAAAGATATGGACCGGACACGTTTGCACAGACAAACGGACAAGGTGATTCCTATATAAACCCCCCCCCCCCCCAAACTTCGTTTGCAGGGGATATAAAAATATATCAAAAACCAGAGTACACAATCGGAAAAGCCTTGAAACAGGTAATGCATATGTCAAATGTAAGTGCCATATCTTTTCTCAATCAAAAGTTAAAAGCAATATTAACTTTTTTTAAATTAAGTCAAACTTCAAGTTCAAGGTCATGAAATTAAAAATCATACTAGTACATTTGGAAATGCTTGTCACAGATAATGTACGTGTCGAATAGGAATGCCCAATCTTCGCTCCTTCAAACCTTATCAACAGTGATGAAATGTTTGAAAATTATGTCAAACTTTAAGGTCAAGGTCACAGGGTCATATTTCAAAGCACATTCGGAAAAAAATTGACAAAGGTAATGCACTTGTCAAATATGAACCACAGGTACTTGTGGACGCCCCCCCCCCCCCCCAATGTTCAACACCGGGGCTTGTTAGACATTTTTTTCACAAATTATATTTATTGCACTTATTCATCATGTGTACCATAGGAAAAAATCGTGAAAACCCCAAAATAATCGTTCCACACAAAAATACCCCACTACACATTATAAAAGAGGTATTTTTGTGTGGAACGATTATTTCGGGGTTTTCACGATTTTTGAAATATGAGCAGGTCAAACTTCAAGGTCAAGGGGTAAAAAAATCATAGTATATTTGGAAAGGCCTTGTTACAGGTAACATACAAGTGAAATATGAAAGCCCTACCTCCTCTCATACAAAAGTTATGACCAAGGTTAAAGTTTTTGTGACAGACAGACTGACAGACGAAATTTATAATGTCCCCTCGCTTTCGTGAAAGCGGGGGACAACAAACAGTTCATATCAAAGAATATATGGATGCATAATTTATTTTTTCGATACACTAGGACAAGAATGGAGAGGATTAAACAGAGGAAAACTACATGTATAAAACTTGAAATTTCACATTTTATAAATAATTACTACAAATTATGAATCAAAACCTTTGTGATGGCAAAAAACAAAAACAAAACAAAACAAACAAACAAAAACAAACAAAAAACAACAACAAACTTCAAAAGCAAAATCTGAACAACACAAAAGCAAAATTTATTCAGAATCATTACATTTCGTAAATGTAGAATATTTTCACGTAATCGTATCAGTTCTGAGTACTCCTCTAGATTTTTGAAATTATCAATAAATATACATTTTTTCAACGAGGGGCATTTTTATATGCATAGCTTCTAGTATACATGTACATAGTGCTCCACCCGGGACTCGAGAAGAGCTATGGTTGGAATCATCTGACAAGGTAAAAAAAGGAAAGGCTTTCTAAGGTAGTTCTAAGCATCGCATTAACACTTGGACCCATGGCTTGACTGCCCAGTAAAATTTTCAATCATGATGATAGAATACCCTTCTATAAATTAAAAGTAAGCCATGCCAAGAAAGACTACTCGTGGATTTGAAATCGTTAACTACTAGGAAGATAGTTATATTTTTCCTTAGGACCAATAATGTAGAGTAGACATAGTATGTCGAGCATCCGTATATGGCATAGTCTGACACATTCAGATTAAGCATTGATGTATGACGTAACACAATATGACGTCATTTTTACCATGCCAGTATATATAAAAACACCGAAGTTGTAGTAAAATGCATATCTTGATAATTCTGGGTATTTTAATGAATGTGCACGCATTTAAAGAAAAGCATTTTACAGAACCAGGTTTGAAAGATTTACTGCGTAAAATTAATGGACTTGAAGGAGAACCAATGTATTCTAGGGTTAAGAGAAATGTATTTGTGTATCACAAGAAAAATCAGAAAGAGATGGTTGAGGAACAATTTAAAGAGTACGAAAAATGTTTGAAGAAGCGAGAGGAAGAAAGAAACGAAGGAAAAAATACGATTCGGGGGTTGTTAGTGTTAGAGGGCCAAAGTGTAAGACTTAGTTGCAATCTGTGCCAACGACCTGACCAAGACTTTGCCAAGCTGCAGATAATAGACTGGCAACAACTTCGACGGCAAGACTCCGATTTTGTATTCGTTGATCACGAAAATGGACGAGTTAAAATTGACAAGAGTACTCGTGATCTTATCTTTGATGCAGTGGATGTTCTGGATGCAGGTCAGTATTTTTGCATAAACACCTACTACAGAGAATATGAGGAAATCTATCAACTTGATGTGTTATTCAAAGAACGACTTAAGACGACGAAATACGAAGATATTGCGCAGGGAAAAGACAAGTTTCTTGGAGAATATTGGCTCAAGGATCGCAACATCAGAACATTCACAGCTTGGTCTGAATGGACTGACTGTCAGGATTGTAACAAAAAAAGTATCAAACGGAGGGTGGGTTTGTGCATGGTCAATAAAATAGATAAGAATCTTCCTGTTTTGCCCTATGACCTTCCAGTACTCGACCTTTATCCCAGTGGTGTGCCTTGTCGGTCAACCGTGCTGTCTAAAGATCTGGCTTCAGTGAAGCGTATCAAAATGAGGCGTAGCGAGGTCTGTTTGGCAGACTGTTACAAGAATTGTCCAACAACGCCGGGTTATACTCTCATCAAAGACAAGAATGGCAAAGTTATTGAAACAGTAGAGGCTGGATTTTACTCACTCAAGTAAGCCATTTTTCTTAAAACAAAGTTTTTATTTCTTAAACTAATATTTTTCGCCTGTGTGATTAAGTACATAGGGGTTCGGCTTCTTGATGGTGTATTTTGTGTATTGTATGTTTGTCTGTCTGAATACATGGATTTGAATTTTAAAAAATCGCTGAAATACATGTAAATAGTTTTTAAAAATATCGTATTTCCATGATCGGAAAGGAATCCATCATATTTTGTAAATTCCGCTGCCTGCACAATTGCATCTTCTCGGGCTTTAATCCGAAATAACTGACGTTTTCCAGGCTTTTTTGCGATTTTGTTATTTGACGTGCTAGGAAAATTTTAAAACCGTAAAAAACGCTTGGAAAACGTCAGATATTTCGGACTTCTCGGGCTTTTCCGGCAAGCTCGGAAAAATACCTTAGGCCTAATTGAATGTGGTTTACATCACAGCATTTACGATACAGAACCCGTCTCGTTCTCTAAATAATACATATTCGATACAAACACCTTTTCAAGCAACGTAATTTTGAATAACTTTAGAAAAATATACAAGCTGTATCATTGCATGTCTGCCAGATGCTAGAAAAGATATAAAATTGGCATCTTGTGTGATAATCAGTCAATATGTGATTAATTATCGGCAGGTACTTATGTATACCAAAGTTCTAAAATATTCCGTTAGGATAATTTTTATATTCCTGTTGATTTTTTAAAGATTAATTCTAAAATAAGAACAAAAAAAAAAACTATGAAAGGTATTATTATTGATTATTTACAAAGAAAAAAAAATCCTTACTTAAACTTTCTATTTCTTGATGAACAGCATCAGCAAACAAATTGTATCTGTTTAAAACGATAATTTAAGTGATATAAAGAAAGGATTGCTGTGGAGAGAATGACTTGAGTACAACTATATTTGTTTTCCATTTTTTTCTGGTGTTTTAGAAAGCCACCGACTCTCCCACCTATGGTCGTGCGCAAAGTTCTTTACGAACCTGTAAACAAACATCTTATTCTTAAATGTCCAAAAAGTCAGAAGTCCAAGGCTTTGATACGATGGCAAAATAACACAATTGTCTTAAATCCCCTGACAATAAGACGACAAACCAGAGGACGAGTGTTCATTGATACTATAAACAGACTGCACATCCGGCGCCTGCGCATGACCGACACAGCACCATACAACTGCTGGAGCTCAACTGTTCATTTAGCAACCATTAAAGTGATCGTCCATGAGGCTTATAACGACATAAAGATAAAAGAATACATCACTCTTACCGGGCTTGGTCTGACTATTTTTTCTATTTCATGTATTTTGATATGTACTGTTTGTAAAGGAAGGAAGAAGAAAAAGAGAAAGAAGTGAATTTGAAAAAAAGATAGGCCTACATGTACTAGATATAGATATCTTTACTAGTATTTAAGTTCCATTGATTCCTGCAAAATTCTTTTTAACGAGAAAATATATCTAAGTTTTGGGAATTTGCAAAAAAAAAAAAAAAAAAAAAAAAAAAAAAAAATGAAGTAGCATAAGTATGTAAAACAAGTACAAGTATATTCAATCAATGTAGAAATGCTATCTAGATGTATTTTTTTAATATTTAATCTACTCTTTATTAAAAATTCACCTTAGACAATCAAAAGTGGGTTTATTAGCACAATACTTTTGATTGACTAATGATATTTCACCGCTACGTTGGCTATTTGCATGAAACGGACTAAGATATTTTAATCGAAGTCAATAAAATGTTTTTATTTTATTATACTGATTAAATACATGTACAATTAAATGGATAAATTGTCATTTGTATACATTTAATTCGATTAATCAATTATACCGAACGGTCTTGTAGCTTGACAACTCCAATAAAAATGTAACTTTATGACGAATAATTGAATTGTATAGCTCAGTATGCTATAGCTTCATTAAATTCGTTTATAATGCATGCAAATTACAATTTTTATGCCCTCGTAATCGAAGACTCGGGGGCATATAGTTTTTGCCCTGTCCGTCCGTCTGTCTGTCTATCTGTTTGTCTGCAAAAACTTTAACCTTGCCCATAACTTTTGATTGGTTGGAGCTATGGCTTTCATACTTCACATGATTGTGTATTCCATGTGACAAGACCTTTCTTTGGGTACCATCAAATTTGACCTTTTGACCTTGGAGTTTGACCCACTTTTGCTAAATTTTATCAGACTTTGACCTTTGCCATAACTTTTGAATAATTGGTGCTAGGGCTTTCAAACTTCACATGTGTATACCTTGTGACAAGACCTTTCTTTGGATACCAACAACTTTGTCCGTTTGTCCTTGGAGTTTGACCTACTTTTGAAAAAACGTTAACCTTGGTCATACCTTTTGAACAGTTGGTGCTAGGGTTTTCATACTTTACATATGTATTCATTATGACAAGACCTTTTTATGGATACCAACAACTTTGATCCTTGACATTGGAGTTTGACCTCCTGTGAAAAAAACGTTAACCTTGGCCATAATTTTGAACAGTTGGTGCTAGGGCTTTCATTCTTCACATGTGTATTCCTTGTGACAAGACCTTCCTTTGAATACCAACAATTTTTACCCTTTGACCTTGACCGTTTGACCTACTTTTGAAAAACTTTAACCTTGGTCATAACTTTTGAACAATGGGTGCTAAGGCTTTCATTCTTCACATGTATTGCTTTTGACAAGTTCTTCCTTTGGATACCAACAATTTTTACCTTGACCTTGGAGTTTGACTTTCTTTAAAAAAAACTTTCACCTTGGCCATAACATTTGAACATTTGGTTCTAGGGCTTTCATATTTCACGTACATGTGTATTCCTTGTGACGCGACCTTCCCTTGGGCACAATTTGACCTTGACCTTGATGTTAACTAACTTTTGAAAAACTTTAACCTTCGCCATAACTTTTCAACGGTTGGTGTTAGGGCTTTCATATTTCACAGGTATATTCCTTAAGACAAGGCCTTTCTTGGGGTACCAACTTTTGACCTGGAGTTTGACTTGCATTTCAGAAACTTTGACCTTCTCCATTAGCTGCAATACGGGGGCATCGGTGTTTCACAAACACATCTTGTTGTTTTTATTTTTAGATATTCAAGCTCAAGACGGTGTCAAAATTAAATGGACATATTTTTCTTGTTCTTTACGAAGTTCAAAAGTTTTCATAGAAAAAAGCACTCAGGGAATACTTCCTGTTAGTCAAAACTGAACTATCAATCCAACATTTATATTAGATGTGAACCCCTAAAATACATCGTTAACAACAGAATCTTTCCTGGAAGACTTGTTGACATGGAGTAATTTTATGGTTGGTGCGCGAGTGTGTGTTGGGGGGGGGGGGGGGTGTTATAGGGTACATACCTACATAGGCGTAATTCCATAAATGAAAAATTGTTGTACATGTAATTGTTCTTAAAATGGTAAAATGGAGCCTTGACTATATTTTTTTTTAATTTTTGCTTTTGCTACCCAAATTTTCAATTCTGTTGAGAGGTTGTAAGATGGAGTTATAGAAGTCTGCAAGTACCAGGCAATTCTACAATTACTAAATCTCTTTCTAAAAAATAGTTAAAAAGAATGGAAGTTCAAAGTCGATCTGTAACACGGTTATACAACGTCATTCAGTATCGGAAGGCTCGAAACTGTTCTAGTATTCCTCAAGGTTAGGACAATGACAGAACAGGAGGTTTGAAATGGGTAAACATACACGGCCCGAAAACGTGTCAGTTTCAGTATTACTTGTAAACCTAATACATGTGATTGATGCTGTACAGATTTGCGGGGCTTTATAGAAGAAGTTTGGGATTGGGTGAGATGTAATTTGACGACAGTCTTTTGTTTAAAATAAGGGTTTTGTGTAATTAAATAATTGTTTTTACGAAATGTCACTTCGATCTTGTTCCATTAACCACTGCATTTCCAGAAATTCGATCTAGAAAATATTCAATTACCCCAAAATTCCTGTGAAATTTCATTATACTGCTCTCTCTTTCGCACGCAAAGTGTCTTCTATTCTTGTCTTGGACTGGTATTGATATTCTCCTTTGGAGAAAAAAAAACCACACATCTTGTTCTCAGAATAGACCGTGTCCTTCAAGGACAGTTGGTTCAATTGAATTAAATTGGGCATCTACATGACCAATATGTGTGATACATTAGCATTTCTTCACACTGTGTTTGAAAATCATAAAAAAAAAAAAAAAAAATAAATAAGGTGTCCCATTTATCCAAGATAAGTATCGGCACAGGTAATTTTATTTTGACGTAAAGTAATTACAATTTGAAAATTCTTGTATTGATTTTGAAAGCGAAGTTAGTAAAAATTTGTTTTCGTGATTGTGGTGATTGATAGTACCATAATAAAAGTGAGGGATTCTTTGGATTATATATTTATTCGCTTGCATGGTGATCAAAAAAATTAAATGATGATTTTTTTTAAAAAAAATCATCATAGGATTTGAAGGTAATCTGATATTTTTAAAACCATTAACGAGTCATTCTGGAAACAGTAGCAAGTATTATCTTTTAAAACAGAGAAATAAATGGGAAAAAATCTTCATGGTAGAGAAAAAGTTGAGAATAAAGTAGCACATGGTCATATTCCTGGGGTTAAATAGCATTAGGTGCTTGACCAAACAAAACATTCTTACCGATTTTTAACAGTTTAATTGTTAGTCAAAGCAAAGAGGAAAATTCAAAACAATCATCCTCAATTATTATCAATATTGATGATATTTCAGCCATCACCAATAATGTCGAAGTAACCCATGACGTTTATTGGCTTAGTCAGTTGTTGCTTAATGCAATTATTCCACAAAAAAGTCCTCGATAGCGTCGAAAAGTGATGCTTGCATGGAATGATGTTGAACAATTTAAACAAAGACATTTGGCAGTGGATTGGATGAACGTCAATAATTGAAACTCATGTTAATGGGTTTAAAGCGAAGTTTACGAAAAAAAAAAGTATACCAGAGAGGGAATTGCTTTGAGGTGTGAAGCGAAGACTACGATATCTTTCATTTTCATGGCAACGACCTAGTTCCAAATTGAAGACTTCAATTGTTTCTTCCTCCAGTTGTTCACAATTTGAGGAATTTAAGAATGGCCGGAACCCTACAGATGCAATGTGAAGCCTCCGACAGCCATAACGAGTCATTCCAAAGACTAGTGGCAACAGTAAGTGGAATTTTTATTTACACTTTTGCACTCGATTGTTAATCCAATATTTGGACTTTGTACATTGGTATTAATCACGAAACATGCCTAAATATTTTTTGTAAATCTGCTGTTTCCGGTAAATCTTTAACAGTAAAGTGGGAAGTATTCTGTTACCTGGCAGTCGTATCACATAAGGCAGAGGTAAACAGGAGATAGATCGACCACAGACAATTAATCGGCTTCTTAAGGAAAGTTTAATTAAACATGAATGAAATTTACACTTCAATGACCTCATTTTGCGGACAGGTGATTAATTAGGAAATTCAATTACAGTACTAGATAAACTGAACAGATATTTGGTGATTATTATCATAGAAGTCAGCAAATGTGGACATCAGTGAGTCTTCCTTACCAGTAACATTCAAATGACACCATATACATGTAGTAAATGTTTAAACAAGCCATGTTTAATTTCAAAAATTATTATTTTTCACTATTGATTCAAAATGCCAAGGTTTGATTACCCTTTCACTCGTTGTTCTGTGAACTAAACTATCATGGATGCAATTTATAGTCGTACACACATAGTAATAAACTTTAAACTGTTTATTAGAACAATACATAAAAAAATCGATAAAATAAATCAACTGAAGCTATGCAGAATTTTTAAAAAAAATTATATCTGGTCCTGTTCATGAAGTTGATAATTCTTTACTGTTAGGCCGGTCCCAGCTTCACCACAATATATGCACCTCATTTAGATCCGCTCCTGCAAGAGTCCATAACTTACCACATACAGTGTATGTGATACTTACATAATTATACAACTGAATATATCACAATACGAGGACGCACACTGTCTTCTATGGAACCCATAGCTGCCTTATGTGATTATTTCATGAGAACATGGTGCTTTATTGTGTTATGCTGTGGTTATTATATGTGAAGGTGGTGCTTTATTATGTTATGCTGTGGTTATTTCATGTGAATGTGGTGCTTTATTATGTTATGCTGTGGTTTTTCATGTGAAGGTGGTTTTTCATGTGAAGGTGGATTTCATGTGATGGTGGTTTTTTATGTGAAGGTGGTTTTTTTATATTTAATGTGATGGAGGTCACTCGAAACTCCTAATATTTTTGAAGACTGAGTTTAACACTGAGTTTAACTGCTATTATCTTGAAATTTTGAAAGTGAAACAAATAGTCAATATAGTTAAAATCATATTAATACGCCATTGCTAGTTCCTCTTTTTTCCATAGGTGCTTGGTTTCAGGATGGTGTATTTTGTGTATTATGTTTTTTTCTAGCTATGTCTGAATAAACTCGATAACCTAAAGTAAGAATAAAAAAAATCACTGAAATTAAGCAAGTTTTAAAAACGTCATATTACTTTATATAAAAAAGAGTGAAGATACGACAGTTGCAATCTTCGATTTTACGTGATGCCCGGCTCGGTTCACACTTGATTTTAATCAATATAGATCTACACTCTTCCTACCAGTTTCGGGCAGGGTTTCGGGTGAAATCTACATTTAAAAATGATTGAATAACGCCTTTCAATCTCTGCCAATTCGAACTTGCCGTATAAAGTATGCAGTAAACAAAAACGTCCTGATACCTAGAACTGAAAGTGAAAGCAATGGAAGTGACGATTTTTAACCAAGCAAAATGTAGAGGCGTCCCAGAATTACAAGAACAAGTTTGGCGCGGTTTCTGACCTCCCTAGATTTTCCGAAGATGGCAACTGTTGTACCTACACTCTTACTATATAGACTAATATGACATTTTTTAAACGTGCTAATTATTTCTTTATTTTTATGTTTTTGAGTGTATTCAGACACACCTACAAAAAAAAATCATAATACACAAAATACACAATTTTGAAACCAAGTGCCTATGGAAAAAAGAGGAACTAGCAATGGTGTATTAAAATAATTTTAATTATATTGACTATTTGTTTCACTTTCAAAATTTCAAGATAATAGCAGTTAAACTCAGTGTTAAACTCAGTCTTCAAAATATTAGGATTTCCGAGTGACCACCATCACATTAAATATAAAAAAACACCTTCACATAAAAAAACACCAACACTTGAAAAACCACCTTCACATGAAAAACCACCATCACATGAAAAACCACCTTCACATGAAAAACCACCTTCACATAAAAAACCACCCTCACATGAAAACCACCATCACATGAAATAACCACAGCATAACATAATAAAGCACCACCTTCACATGAAATAACCACAGCATAACATAATAAAGCACCATGTTCACATGAAATAACCACAGCATAACATAATAAAGTACCGTCTTCACATGAAATAACCACAGCATAACATAATAAAGCACCGTCTTCACATGAAATAACCACAGCATAACATAATAAAGCACCATCTTCACATGAAATAACCTCAGCATAACATGATAAAGCACCATCTTCACATGAAATAACCACAGCATAGCATAAAAAAGCACCATCTTCTCATGAAATAACCACATAAGGCGTTCCATAGTCTTCCCATGATTAGAATAGAAGCTCGCAATACATTTTAAAATATTGGTAAAATAAAACAAACATGCATATTACTTATATACTTAACGGTAGCTGGCGACTTCTTTAATAATCATGTCATCTGATTTTTTTTCGTATTAAAATGTGACAGTAAAATTCGACAAAATAAACCGTTAGTATGATCACTTTTTGACAGGTCGTTGCCGAAATAGATTTTTTTTTCTTATAAAGTCTATGAAAGTATCAAAATCACCCCGATTAATTTACAAGGACTCGCAAACGCACCGGCCTCAAACTTTTCTGCATGATTTACTATCGCATGTTTTTTTTCTAGAAATCATGTTATAAGCATTAAAATTCTTTTCGTTTTCCTTTTGTTTAGAATATCAATATGGAGGTCTCGATGCTTTTCTTCATACAGTGTGTACATGTATTGGTGAAAAACATGGAATATATTTCTGACTTGATTTGTTAGAGTTCGGGTGAGCGTTGTTACCCACAGTACTTTTTTAACTACCGTTTGTATTCCATTCCTCGTACCTACTTTTGTTACTGAAGGTAGTAACCTTAGAGTCCCCTGAACGGATTCATCACACATGCTGACTTTTATCTGTAGGGTAATAATGATTACCGTAGTAATTAATTAATTTCAACATTGTCACGACTTGTGCTACCCAGTGCATGATTTAATGTAGCTTTCGAATTCGTGTTCAAGACGCTATTTAACGTGTCTTTTCGTATTGAAAGCGAGTTGTTGAGGAATTCAGTCAAAATGTAAATAAATGACCTATAGGCCTCTTTTATAAAAAGGAAACATTGCTTATTTGACCTTTTATGTTATAAATATTTTTTTTTTTGAATGATATAATGATTTAAGCAGTTTTCGACAGAATTTCAATAAAGTAGTGGAGTGATTTAAACGACAGCTTTTACGTTAAATCGCCTTTTGACTGTTGTATAGTGGGTATAAATACTTAAAAAGTCAAACAGGCAGACAGAAAATTTACATATTGAATTTCGGCAGCTGTTGCATTGCTAGCCGGAACTGAACAGTCGGCACACGACGTTTACTTCGCTTCAGTGAATATCTTTGTAAATAAACATAAAGAAATTAATAAGCTGCGAAAATGAGATGATGTGACTTAAAATATTTCTCTTTTACATATTCTTATTATTGTTTCAAAACTTTCCCAAAGGAATTGTTTTAGTGAAGTTATTATATCGTAATTGATTCAAATTTCATTTTTATATTTCTGGGCCTTAAATTCTGTCTTTTTCAAAAGAAACGTATAATTATTTTTGAATAATTAATATTTCATTGCGATGCCTGGTTGTAGATACCTTCCTTTGTTACTGAGCTAAAATGAAGTGATCAAATATTTATAGCAATTTACCCAATATGGACGCGGCCACTATAATGACGCTATATGTCATCAAATTTTCAGAACTACATTTAAACCAATTTCTATGCGACAAGAAATATTCAGATCTTTAGGATATCATGAAAACGAAAACATTCGGAGTAGCATCCAAACTAGGAAATGAAAGGCTCATGTAAGTCACATTTACATCTTCCAGATGAAAACATTAAGTCTATTTTCTGCTTCTTAGAACTTTCATTGGGGTATTTTGCGCGTTTTTTAACGTAAACAGTATATAAATTTCTTTAAAATCATGACAAAAGAAATAATTATATTTCCAGTGTATACCTGAAGTCATTCATTTCAGTTTGTAGTGAGATAATTGAATTTATCTTAGAATGATAAGATACAATTAAGACTTATTAATAACATGTTTTATTTCAAAATGTAAATCAACACTGAAATATATAGATAAACACTGTAATAAACACTGTAAAGTTCATGAAAATATTCACCTTATTATATAATATTATGATATAAATGAATGAAGAAAAACACACGTTCTTGTTTTCGTAAAAGAAGATGGGAGAAGAAGGCGAGCAGAATGCCTGTAGCTTCAGATATATAAAAGTTATATTGAATTTGTGAATTTAGTATTTAGAGTAAAGTTTTTAATATTGAAATTTGCGAAATTATGACAAAACTTTTCTGTGGAAAATTTTATCGGCAAAAATTATTCGATTATTAAAAAAATAATTTGGTTTAAATCGTGGCATTTAAATCATGTTTGTTAAATGACCCTTGACTATATGGACTTCCAGTACATGTATTTCTCGGAGATATACGAATGCTGTGTCATAAAAGTGTGTTTTTAAGGTATAGTGGGTCTTTGCTCCATGTTTTTATTTACCAAAAAATGTATATATTTACGCATACTTTGAGGATAAACTTTCCAAAAAATGGAGTAAAGACCCACTCATTTGGAAAAATTGATCCTTTTTTGTCCTCTTTGGTGTGGGTATGTTATTTCAAAGACACTTAATTTCAATCTTTGTGAGATTTTTGCAAAATGAGGTGATTTTTCTAAAGTATACTTTAAGGTTAGATAAAATATCAAAGAAAATTTTGTAATAATTG